AAGTTCAGAAAAACCTACACAAGCACAATTTATTTGCGTTGGGATTTTGGCCAAGTTTATGCGGCAATAATTGCTTAAAGAGACTAAAAATAAAGGAAGTTAACTACTTTGCTCGATTATCACGAGGCATTTGTAGGAAATTTCATGTTAGATGCTTGTTACAACAAAGTGTTGTCTACTCTATTAAGTTTTCCATTACGGATGATAGCGATCAATGGCTTGGCGCTAAGTTCAAGAAAACTCATACACACACACACATATGCACACTCACACACTAAACAAATTTGCGCAAGTTGAAACGTAAATCGAATAAAAGGCCCAAAGTAAAAGCAGTTACCAATATGGATACAGGCTGCAGATGCTGCTACTTTGGCGCCGACAAGGACACAGGCATACCAGAAGTGGCAGGAGAAGAAGAGGGAGTACAGGAGAAACAAGTGCAATGTGTGATTGTGTGTGTGTGTGTGTGTGTGTGTGAGGGGGCGTCATGACAACAATGGCATTTTGATACTTTTGTATGAGATTTAATGAAATTTGAATCCTTTTGTTGAGTGGAATGACGGCGTGCGAGAAACTGTGAAAAAGGAAGAGTGGCAGGGGCAGAGAGTGAGAGAGAGAGAGCAAAAGAGACATAGGCAAATACGGTGACTAAGAGCGAGAAAGGTAATGTGAGAGAAGGAAACAAGCTGCAGGCGAAACTGTCTTGTCTGCCAATGTCATGTCATGTAGTTGAGGTATTTTCGGCTCTCTCTCTCTCTGTCTCTTTGGGTGTATGTGTGAATAAGTGTCTGTGTGAGTGGGTGTCTGTGCGAGTGCCTATGTGTGATATGATATGTGTGTGTGTGTATCACAACAATAGTAAAACAATCTTCTTAATGCACACTTTGGCCTAAAGGAATTTTTCACTTGTAAGACGAAACTTGTAAACACAGACACACGCACACACACACACACACACACACGCACTCACATACAGATAAAGAGCAAGAGAAATGCCGTCAGTTGGCTATCAGCGTCTGTTAAGCTAGTGTTTGTCTGTGGGTGTGTATTTATATAAGATATATGTACATATATTGACAAAGAAACATGTTAATAAACAGCTGGAAGTTTGCTTTATTATCATCAGCTCAAAAGCAAGCAGGACGCCACGCAGAAAGGAAGTAAAAGCCAGGCTGAAGACTTTTGGGAATTGCCCTAAAAAGGGTTCCCTTGTCTGGCAGTGTCTCTGTGTGTGTGTGTATGAGAGGGTCTTTGTGTATGTGTATGTGTATGTGTGCGAGCTTGAATGGAAGCTGAGGTATCAATAACAATGTACAGCAGTCAGGCAACAACAACAACAACAACAACAATGATGAGCTTCTTTATTAGTTGCTTGTGGGTAAAAATGACAAAGATGTCCTTTGCCTTGAGAGGCACAAACACACACGCTCGCACACTCAGACCCTCGCCAGGACCTTTGTCTATGTGCTACTTATAGCCGAACTTGAACCCTAAGACGAGCCGCTGCGGTCTGTGGGTCTATTTGTGTGCACAGTTAAAACAATTTTGATTGTGAATAACTGAGTTAGACGTGAGTATAACACATGCTGTGTGTGAATCAATTCTAGATATATTCACATTTGAATTACTTAACTGCTTGCCTAACTAAATAAGAGACGAGATTACTCTTTCACAATCTTGTTATATAAAACGATTTTAGTTAATGCAAATAAGTCATGAATATGCAATGAGTGCTAACTGTAAATGGAAATCTTTAAATCTTTAAGAATTGGGAATATATTAAGTATTATTATTATTATTATTATTATTATTATTATTATTATTATTATTATTATTA